CTTATACACTCAGCGGCTCTGACCTACTAAACTCTTATCAGGAGGGAGCTGTGAAACAACAAACAGCTGGCTGATCCTTTAATCCCAGCTCTGCTCTGCTGAGGGCTCCTACCTGCTCATGGCTGCAAACCTCGCGGCAGGCGGCGTTAAGGGTGGGCACACTCCCTGGGGGAACGCATTGTCCAGCAGCCACAGCAGCCTCTCTTCCGTGGCCCAGTCCAATAAGGGTGCGCCCACGGTTTCAGCCACACTAGCTGACACCTGGAACGGAAGGAGGGACAACATGATGCCACAGACAAGGCAGAGAAAAAACAAAACATGAGGAGGCTCTCATTGCCATACTGTTAGAGCGGTACGGCAGTGGAACCACTTACCTTGAGAGGCGGCGAGTGCTCCAATACTGGAGGCACTCAAGAGAAATGTAGACAACCACCTGACAGATCTCCTTAGATTTGTATTCCTGCACTGAGGGGGGAGGGGTTTGGACTCAATGGCCTCGTAGGCCCCTTCCAACTTCATGATTCTGTGATTCTGTGATTTCATGGCTTCTCCAGTGATTTCTAAGGGAGCAAAGACTATACTCAAGGGAACACTCGGAGTGAGGAAATGTTACGTGAGGGGACTACTTCTCCCAGAATCCCGCTGGTTATGCTGGCTCGAGGATTCTGGAAGTCGTAATGAGGGTTGCCAGTTCAGCATCTTCCCTAGTCCTTTGGATTTCAGGGCCAAATCCTGAGAAAAGGAGCTGAAGCCCTCCAGTGTCACAACAGGTGGATCATTGTGTCACAATTGCCAAAGAACAATTGTGAACATGTGGGCATGGGAGAGCGAGATACCCAGTGTTTTTTGTTTGTTTGTTTTTTTGCTGCACAGCACCCTAAATAAATATTATGGGCACAAGACACAGTGGAAGCACTTTTGCACTGAGCCTTGATGTGAATCTGAAGCAGGGAGGAGATGGGGGCCCAAGTACTAAAGGCATGCTAAACAATAAGGTCCAACTTTCTTCCCCTCTGATATTACTTGAAGGGATGTCATGTCGAGGAACAGACAGGTTTGCTTTCCACGGCTCCAGACACTAGGACAAGGAGCAATGGCTACAAACTACAGGAAAAGGGATTCCACCTGAATCTCAGGAAAAACTTCCTGACAGTCAGAGCCGGTCGGCAGTGGCATAGGCTGCCTCGGAGTGTGGAGGAGTCTCCTTCTTTGGAGGTTTTTAAGCAGAAGTTGGATGGCCATCTGTCGGGAGTGCTTTGATGGAGTTCCTGCATGGCAGGGGGTTGGACTCGATGGCCTCTGTGATCTCTTCCAACCCTGTGATTCTATGATTCTATTTTGTCCTAAGATTTGTTTGCCTGCCTGGAGACCCAGAGAACTCAACAATTCCCTGAGACTTCAGGTGGTGCCCTGAGACCTGACAACCCTAGCTGTAATTTAAAAAAAAGGATTTTTTCCAAGCTCAAGCTATTTTTCCCCCTCCAGACTACTAAAATTCTTCTTTATGATGTTGAAAAGAAGCACCCTTCATTCTTGTCTGCAGCAGAGTGAAGTCATACAGAGACATGACATGTCCTGCATTTGTGCCTAAGATCCCATCCTTGTTCTTCTTGCTGAACATCTTGGCCAACCCAAGGTCTTGGGTTCCCTCTCGCTGACGTAGATTGGAGTCCTCACTGCCAACAGGCAGACAAGAATGAGGGAAAGCACATGCCCCTTTGTCACTCGGACTTTAAGCACAGGGAACTGATTAAACCCAAAGATTGTGAAGGTTACTTGTTTAAGACTACACATCCCAGAAACATTTTAGCCAGCACAATCAGGGACTATGGCGAGAGGCTTACTCTGCAGCTTGTAATTCGAAACATGGCTCTGATCATCTCTGGAAAAGAATGTGGTGGGGGAAATGAAGCCATGTGAAATCTTGGAAAAGCAAAACGGCCCTGTGTTGGAGATACTGGTACTGTATGTACTTCACTCCACTCTCTAGCCAACAACCTACTCTATACTTTCAAAAGTAGGAGAATCCTTTAAGGATGATACACTATAGACACAGCACAGAAGGGAGACTATTTAAGTCCTCTCCTGAGGAGACATCTCCTTGCAAATTCTAAGGTAAGAAATCATGGAGAAAGGTTTCGGTTTAGCCTGCTCCCTTTTGCACTGAATTTCGATTTGCAGGCCAGTGGTGTTAATAGCGGGGAGCGTTCCTATGTAGGACCCAGTACCACTATCTGCTGCACAATACTATATTTCAACCTCAGTATTCTGACCCGTTTCCACTGCATGCATAGATCAGAACAATATTTCCAAGTCAGAGGGGGAGCTTATAACTCAGACTGTGTGTCTGTCAAACTGGGAAGACAACCTCCTTTTTGCTGGAGGATCTTGGCAATGTGCTGCAGAAAATCAGGAGGTGAAGCTTTTCCCAAAACAGCACCTCTAGGCCAAGGAGATCCCCTGTTGATCCTCTGTACTTTCAGACATAACCCCTCATGCATCTCCTAGGGATTATTCATTCAAAAGAAAAAGTTTAGATAAAAACAAAGGTACCAGGTTGGTCCAGGATTTTCCCGTATTACATGGAATTTTATTCTTGGAAAGCATGTGTACGTGCGCGCGTGTGTGTTGCGTGTGTATGTGATTTATCCCATACTCTTGGACTGGCACTAAGTCCACAGAAGGAGAAGCATCTGTATAGAGATGCTGGTGCTAGCTGATGCTCAGAAGCCAAAAGCTCAAAGAATATTTGTATACACGGTATATATTTAAAATTACAGCAATCTTACTAACAAGCTCACAATAGTCAGTCATATAGCCCTCAAATATCTCTGAGCTACTGGTCTATCTGCCAATATAAATCTATTCACGCAGCAACTAACAAACATGGGTCACCAGATGTTGCTGTGCTGGAACTCCCATCATCCTTCCCAACTGGCTGAAGTGCCTAGGGTTAACGGCAGATGCAGTCCCACAACATTTTGTGAGTCACACATTCCTCACCCTGATATATTATGCTGCTCTCGTCACCTACTTTCATAAAGTTTCCCTGGCCAGTAGAACAGAACAGCATAGAACAGTAGTTCTCCACCTTGGGTAGCCTAGGTAATTCTTGGACTGCAATTCCCAGAAATCCCAGCCAGCAGAGCTGGTGGTGAAGGCTTCTGGGAATTAGGCTACCCAAGGTTGGGAAGCACTGTTATGGAAGATTCTTACTCACCCAGGACAATTACAAGAATGGTTATTTTAAAGACTAGAGCACCGGTTTATACCCATCAAGCCAATCCTGGATTAGGCACCAGGCTGTACAACCAGGCATATGAAACCTCACAGAAATTATAAAAACTTGAGAGTCAACGATAATCACCATTAGGATAGCCAGTTGGCCAAGGAGAGAACAAAACCTGTCTGACGTGCTTGGTGCCTTTAACGGCAGCTTAAAACGTATCTAGAAATCAGCAGGAAATATTTCATAACATGTAGATAAATTTTATCACTCATTCAGTCTTCAGGCTGCTTTTAAAGGCATTGGACCAAGAGCTGGCTGGAAACTTGGCAACCTAAAATACCCCCACTAAGCTCTCTTGCAACTCTACACAACTACAAACAAAAAATCCAGGAAAAAAATACACGAGGAAAGGTTAATGGAGGCACTAAATCATAAACAACTGGCCCCACCCACACTCCATTCACTTATTGGTCAACTCAGTAGTAGGTGGGGCTACAGCACTATAAAATGCAGGTTTCCTGCCTCAGACCAATGCTGTCATGCCATGGAAAGCTAAGGTGCTGAGCTATGGTGGGGTTTACTGAAGAACAGAAAATGAAGTGACTGGAGAAGTAGAACATTCTTCCTTCCTTGCACACTATACAACTTGTGTTTGCCTGCCTTCTCTTGAGGAACTGAGAAGTCAAAACATTATTTTATCTCAACCCTGTGATGAAAACTGGAATGATAAACAAGCCCTTTTTAAAATTAAATATTTATGATGGTATTCTCCGAGATTCTCTTGTGCCACATGTTGCATCGATGTAAAGCACTGGTTCTTAACCTTGAGTTACTCAGGAGTTTTGGACTGCAACTCCCAGAAGCCTTCACCACCAGCTGTCCTGACTGGGGTTTCTGGGAGTTGCAGTTCAAAAGCATCCGAGTAACAAAGGTTAAGAACCACTGATGTAAAGCTTCACATCCACACCCAGAGCAATGTGCTGTCAATACAAGTGGGTGTGGGAAGGAAATGGCAGCCTAACTACCTAAAGGACAGTGCTGGAAATAAGGCTTCAGCTGTTCTTGTTCAATGCCAGGGGGATCCGTAATATGCATCTCTGTGTGGAAATCATGTCAGAACAATAGCATGTAGGCTACACTAGCTGAGTGGCCAGACAGAAAGCGAGAGCAGAAAACCAAACACTGTGTAAGTGGCATCAGGTAACCTTGACTGCTTCACTGTATAAGGGCAGCTTGCTTTTCATGGTCAGGACCTTCTAATATGGTAAAGCATTTTGTAATTGTGCTGCTAGGTATGTGAGGGAAAAGAGGCCTCTGTAGTTTTGTGTAGCCACATTTCTGACTGTCTTCATAGGCAAGACCAGCTTTATGCTCTGCATGTTATTGGAAGTTATGTTTTTACTGCCTTCTGCACAGACTTAAAAAAAAATTAGGAGTTGCCTGAACCATCACCCAGATCAGCAGTGGAGACACTAACCACGTCCTTTCTGAAATGATCATGTAGCCTGTGTTCTGAAAAGCCTCAGGTTGTAATGAGAAACATCAGAAGACAAAGTAGGCAAACTAAATGTGTTCCTATAATGTAATTTATGGTTATTGCCTTATAGGCACCTTCAGCTAGCCCACCTGCCACCCCAAAGTCCCATTCATCCAGATGTTCCACCTGTCCCACTTGCTCAGAGATTTCCCTACCTGATGAACTAATCCCCAAGGAACAAATGGGCCAGCATTAAAACACAGTTCATCTCTTCCCTCCTTCATGAAGTGTGGGCAATATTCTACAAAGACCTGGGAGCAGCCAGGACAAACTGTATGCTCAGGTGAGCAAAAGGATTCTAGGCTCAGAGAGTTTGGGTTCTGCCTCCAGACTTGTCTTAGTGACCCATCAGAGTGTCTCCTTTTACTTCAACCTTGATTAATTCAGGAAGCTAAAGTAAAACCTCCTATGCAGTGAGGGTTTTTTTCCTTTTTGGGTGACCTCAAATAGCTCTGAATCCCATTTCTAGGCATAAGCACAGAAGTCAGTGGAACAGGAAGAAAGATGTGAATCTCCCTCCTTCCATTCCCCCCCTCTGGTTTCACACAGGTCTTCAATTGACCAACCGAGGAATGGGAAATACAGAGACAAAGTTTCTGTTGATATTGTGAACTCTTTAATGGAGGCTGGAGAAGAACTGTACTTGTGACATGTCACCTACCCAGAAGAATTTACCACCTGCTGTTTGGGGGCCTGAAAAAGGGAGGAGGAGGAAGAGGAGGGAAAGCAGAGCACCTAAGGTCGAGCTTTTTGGTGCCACTCTCCTTTCTTTGGGCCTCGGCTCCCCCCAGGACCTTGCAAAGAGGGCTCGACTCCTTCCCAAAACAGCAGCAGCAGGATCCGAGATGCAGTGAGCGGGGGACGACCCAGGGCAATCAGAAGCACCCCAGTACTCCTTCCCCTGAGTAGCTCCTGCATCCGGACTGCGGTCCGATTGGGGCGGGGGGGGGAAAGAATTTTTCGGAATCGATTTATTCACTCCCAGAGGAGCTGTTTGCAGAAGTGGCCGCCAAATCGCTTCCCCACCCCCCTGAAGCTGAACGCTTCCATAACTCCGGGAGAAGTTTGAACTGTCAGGAGAAGGCGGAGGGGGGAAGATCGGCTCGAGTCGTCCTCGGCTCCCGCAACTCCCTTGCCTGTGCCAGATGCACCACCCAGTCCGGCTCCAGAGAGTGCCCAGGGCGCGCTTCCCCCCCCCCGGTTTGGCACTTACCTGGGTTCATGGTGCCCCCTCCCCAGGAGCAGCTGCAGCAGACTCCCAACTTGTCTTCCCGCCCCTCCGGGGGGGCACAGGGGTGGTGGCTCACCTGCGGTGTCTCCCTCCCTCCCTCCCTCCCTCCCCCCCTGGACTCAGTGCCAGGAAGAGGAGGGGGTAGAGCAAGGGAGCTTCCTCCCTGGCATGCGCACTGGGGGCCGGGGTGAGGGTGGAGGTTGGGTTGGACGGAGGGAGGGAGGGAGGAACGGGGCGAACAGCCTGGGAATTCCGTTCCCGTCCTCCTCCGCTGTGCGCTCAGGGCGCAGGACCTGGGCTTTGCGCACGGGGCTTGGGGTAAAACCCGGCCCGGGCCCTTTCGGGTTGTTCCAAAGTCCCGGTGCGGAGAGAGGAGTGGCGCGGCAGGAATCCCGACGCCTGCCTCCCCTTTGCGGCCTGCCTCGCCCTCTTGATCTTAGCGGGCTAGGAAGAGACAAACGGCTCTCTCTACTTCGGCGCACGCACACACAGCACCATCTGCTTGGACAGACTTAAACGGCTGCCTCTTCTCAAACGACAGAGCTAAAGAATGAAATGCTGAGGCGAGACTACCAGGCATTTGTGCTTGAACAACTATGGGGCAGCAGAAGAAAGCTCTGGCCTCAACTTCCCAGTGTGGCCGAACGCTGTTGCAAAAGGCATGGTGCGCGCTCAGCACCAGCATGTGGCTGGTTGGGTCCAGCAGGATGGCTCCGAAACCCCACAAATAGCGTGTCCACTCTGGCTTGAGTAAAAGAACCATTCAGCCCGATACCTTGTTTCAAACGAGAAACCAAAAGCTTCTGGAGTGCCCCTAAAACAGCCCTGCCCTGTATTTTCCACTCAGCCCCTTTGAGAGAGGGCAACTCATTCACGTAGTCATCGCAAAATAGTGAGAGACAGGCCAACCCATGATGGCCGGTTTAAAACCTCATACACTTACATTTGTTGCCCTGTTTGGTGGGTGCAGGACTTTAAAAACCTAAGAGTCTGGTTGGTAGTCCATAGACAGAGGTGCCATGGATCAAAGCTATAGAAGCCTGGTATGCATTTAATTATGGGGGCTGTGATCAGAAATGGCTAACGAATATAGAAGTGTGGATAGAAGTGATATGGGTTACTCCTTTGGGAGATGCAATAGAACATCAGGAAAGGATGAGAAGCAGGTAGAGGAGTAGGATCAGAAGTCAGTCAAGGAATAGAACCAGAGTCGGGAAGTCACAGGGCAGAAAAGTTAATAGAGATGGATGAGCAGAGACACATGTACAGCCCACTGGATGAAGATTTGTAATATCGGGGGTGGGACTGAAGCCGGAAACCTCTTACTGCTTTTGTATATGGTGACATAATGGCATCACTTCAGTGAGGCCTTGTGACTCATGTTTGATGAGTCACAGCCAGCTCCAATTCCTTGCTCTGACATAAATCCCCAGTGTGATCCTAGTTAGGATAAGAAATACCAAGAATGTGTTTTGCACGAGAGTCTCCCACACAGAGACCACCAGCAGCTGTGAACTCGTTTTAAAATGCTCCTAGGGTGAAAAATTTCAGCTCTTTTGCAAACTTATAGGACAGGGATCCTAACGGTGACAATATGTGCATCAGGGAATCCCTGCTTGGATGCTGGACACCCCCTCCAGCAACCGAAATTTGTGGAATAAGACAACAGTAACTGTCACTATGTGTTTCAGGAAACATTAGGATTCCTTAAACAGGTGAACAATTGTGGTCCTCCAGATATTTTTTTAGACTATAACTCCTACAAGTCTTAGTCACCGTACCCAATTATGAGATGATGGGAGCTGTAGTTCCAAATACTGGAAGGGCTGAATTTGCCAGCCTCTGCCTTGGAAACTCTTAAAAGTCCCCTGAAATACAGAGTGCCCCTTGAATGTAAAGTTGCAGGAGACTTTTAACCATTATTTACAGTGCACTTTTGCTTTACATGGGGCAATAGTGAATTCTCATTCTGGGTTTCTTAATTAGGAGAAAATTGGCATACAAATGAAAGCAAACAAACACACAAAGCAAACTCTCACATTTTGAGGGTGCTCCTCTGCACACTAGAGCACTCTGTCCCCTAGAGATTTTGACAGTACTCAAGAGATCTGCAGCAGAAACAAATGCGTTCCCTGCAGAAGTTGTATAAAAGTTTCATGCAGAGAACATGTGAAATAAATGATCATGGGTCATTCAAATGCAGGAATTATGAGAAACTACTATCTATTTTCAGCAAGTCCAGCTGAAGGTGGCTTCCAAAATCTAGTACTGTGTGTCCCTTAAAAGCAACACTATAATTAACGCCTTATTTAACCCTAATGAATGATACCTAGAGATACCACTTTTAAAGCCAGCTTCGACTGTAGTCCAATGCTAAAAGCAAAGGTACCTTTGTTAAACTTTAAATTATCATGTCTTTTTACCTATCTGTATAAACTGCCATGAGTCTGATCCGCCATGACAGGATCAGTTTGGGAGGAACGCCTTAGCTGAACTCCCTCTCTGTGCTGGGATAGTTCTTAAAAGTTGCTATTTACCTGATTTCATGGTGCAGCATCAATTTCTGTGTACTGTACTGTCTATATGCTGATGTGGCAGTTTGTCACATGAACTCTTAAACATATTACTGTACATAGAATTCCTGCTGAAACAAATGGGATGGTCTCCTGAATAAACATTCTTAGGATTGGGCTGTAGTTTGCAATGTCCTCTCCTTAGACTGGACGAGACTTTTTAATTTTCCTGCCGGCCAAGGAATATTGCCCTTTCTTGGGAAGGATGGCAATGTTCAGTCCTTAGTTAAGCAGCTCAAGGGGTTTGTATGAATCAGAATTATGATTTTTTTTCAGAAGTAACTCTAAAAGCATGGATGGCAAGTTCCTTCTTCTTTTATACAAAAAAGGGATGCCGTCTGCTGTCACCCACCATAGTCAAAACCGTCAGAGGATGCTTTATTTTCAGAACTGTTGTTTTATTAATCAGATGTAATCAATTATATTAACACATGCAATCAATCGGCCTGAGCATTATTTAAGCAACGAGCAGTCCTACTATCCACCGAAATTGTATCGCGGAGGGCCCACCCTTTCCAAGGAGACACAAGGACGGGTAAAATACAGTACTGTCATATGCAAGGGCAGGTCCTTCCCGTAGACGAGCGCTGCCTGCCTTTTCCCCCAGGGAGGCCTGGCCCTTTAACCAAAGCGATGGGCGGGGCGTGACGTCATAAAGGCTCCCGAGGGCCTCCCAACGTACTTCGGCCTAGTCTCTGTGGAGGGACACTCTGGGCAGGGGCTCGTTGACATGGGCGGTGGGAGAGAAAAAGAAGCAAGGCAGGGTCGGTAAAGGGAATCCACGAGGGCCAAGGTCAGGTCGTGGGCTTAACGAACAACGCCGCCGTCAACGGTTGCCAGAGCATTGCATCATCCTCTCCGCATGACTCACCCTCTTAAAGACTCGTGACCCTAAAGGGGAGGGGGTAATTTTGGGGAGAAGTCACTTCCGGGTGCAACGCGGCAGGATCCAGCACCTCAAGCAAGCGCGGCTGCACCGCTCATGCTCGGGGAGGCGGGGCAAGCTGGGACGGCGACGACGCCCATTGGCCGAGCGGGGCCCTCCCCTCCCGTGCAATGGAAGGGTCTGGGCTCCCCGATTGGGCCGAGGTGGCGCAAGAGTTGCGTCAGCGGGGGCCGGCTTTAAGGACTATCCGCGAACTCGTGAGCAGGAGGAGGGGTTGGGCATTTGGAAGCCAGCAGCCGCCGAGTTGAGAGGAGGATGATCCGCGAAGGGAGAATGAGCCGAAGCCAGCCAGTGGGGGACGGGATCGCGGGCGAGAAGGGGCCGCGCAGGAAGGTGCGAAGTCCGGGGAGGGGGGAAGGGAGGGAAGAGGGACCGCGCTCGGACGCCTGGGTTTGCTGCCCTTAATAAAAGTTGGGGGAGGGGGCGTAGTTACAGGGGAAGGGGTTTCCTGTTGGAGAACTGAATGGAGTGGACCAAAAGAGAGAGAGAGAGAGAGAGAGCAAAAAAATATTTTTTTTCCAGGGGTTAGAAGATCCCTGCTTTATTTGCTTCGTCCGTTGCTCAGTTCAAAAATTCAGAAATAAAACTGATAATTCCTGTTTCGGAGGGTTAGCGGCCGAAGGCGGCGGGAGCAGCAATGTTTCTGGATTTGCGTAACCCGATCCTGTTGCTCGGCTCGAAACCTTTCTGTCTTCAGTTCCCACGGAGTAGTACATCAAGGGTACACGGGATGGCGAGCCTCGATCGTGGGCAGAAGGGACGGGCCCTCATCCCGTTGCTCTCAAGAAGTGCCCCGGTTGAGCAACGCTTCTTTATTCATCCCGAAGAGAGCAAAATCTCCATGGGTCGTGTTACGCAATTAATACAAATAAAGGGTTCGTCTTATAGAGTTGATACAAATTCATTTGAAAAATTAAAATTGGCAGACATTGCGGCAGGATCTTGATGTTACACAAAGTGATTCTTTGGGGGGTTGTTTTTATTTAGATATCACCAGCACAGTTGATGGAGAGCGAAAAAGATTTCCCATATAGCAGGAAAATCTAGTACTGTAGTAAAGGGGACAGTTTCTTCAAACAAATGTGTGCTGATGGCACAGAGAGGAACAGTCCCAGGAAAAGAAAAAAAGTGACCAGTTCTAGATACTGCTCGGTACCCTGTCTAGAAGAGGTCCTGACGCTGGCATTGCTGTTTCCATTCTGGGAGGAACTGTTCTGTCCTAGTGGATAAGAACCCTTAGGTTTTTCCTGTGCTCTAAAATAGCTTGGGATGGTGGGCGTTCTGCCAACTATGAGGCTACATCCTTTGCTGCCATTGTATAGTGTGCTTTTTTCCCTCCGGCAAGTTATCCTAAGAATATAACTCTCAGAGCAAGTCAGATAGAAACAGCACTGGAGCGGTTTGGAGGAAGCCACAAGGGCGTCTCAAGGGTTAATGTGTGTTAATTGTGATGGCACAGTGAATTTCCATGCAAACCCCCCTTTCTTGCTAAGGCAGTCCAGTGACTTGGAATGCCTGCTTGCATACCTCCTTGGGGAGCTGGTCTTCCTCTTCAACCCTCCCCTCCCCCCTCATTCCTAGGCTGCATAACAGTTTCTGGATCCCTCACTCACCTGTTTTGTTGCATCACTCAGGGCTGATGAAAATCTGTGTTGTGTCCCTTGCGCCCGTTGCCTTCCTGTGGGGTTTGTCCTGGTGTCTTAGCTTTGCTTTTTCAGTACAGGGTGTGGGTGTCGGTCCGGTGAAATGCTTATGTCTTCCCAGTTGGAGAGTGAGATGGGGGGGGGGGTAGAGCAACCTTTCCTTCAATCTTTGCTGATGTGGTGTTGGGACTTCTCGCTCTCATTGTTTCCAGTTGGCATGGCCAAGTCTTCTTGGAGATGATAGGAATCACAGCCCAATGCCTCTGGAAGGTACCGGTTTTAGGGCTAGGCTGTGGTGGAGTCTCATAAGAATCAGAGGTATCGACAAACTGTATATTCAGTTGTTCCTTTGAAGGACAAAGCCGTAGTTCTTTAGTGTTATGTCAGATTTGATTTTTCGTCAAAGCTTGAAAAAAGGCAAGGGGTCAAATCCTGGTTCAGATAAACTTTGAGGCAGGGTGGTGGAGTTATTAGAGGGTTGGGTTTGGACTTCGGTTCAGTCTCTGCTTGGCCAGGGAGCTGACAGCCTGACCTTGGGAATTCACTGTCTCAGCATAAACTGCTTCAGAAGGTTCTTGAGATGATACCATAGAAATGCTTAGCTAGTAGCTCTATATGATTTACTCCGTATAGTAGAATCATGCGATTTGTAATTTGGTGATGTGCTTAAAGTTCTGGGCCAGAACGTGTTGCTGCACTTCTTGAACAAGACCTTGCTACTTAGAGAATTCTTAAGTTCCTCACTAAACTGCACATCCCGTGACTCCATAGGGCAGAGCCATGGCAGTTAAAAAGAGCTGTCAAACTGGACTAAATGTGCATCATAGTCGTCTGCTGCTCCGAGTTATTTGAAAGCGGGGATACATGGAAACAAATCCAATATGTTGGATCCAGATCTCTCTCCCTCTCGCTCGCTCATTCTTTATGTGTGTGTGTGTGTGCCCCTGGTCTAACAGGGGAGGACTCCTTGGCCCTTTCTCCCCATGGCAGCCCCTTTGGCTCACTGAAAGTACTGCACAGAGAACCTAAGAAGCCTGCTGAATGTGATGAACTGTGGTTCAAGGAGGTGGAAGGATTCCCCCCAAATCAGCTGGATGTACATTAAGTTGGTGGGAAGTGAATCCTGGATCTGACCCAATCAGTATCTTATTTCTCTCTTGAATAACATGGACTAACTTTTAGCACACAGAATTATAGTTTCTAAATCAGTGGGTTCCAACCTTGGCTAACTCAGGTGTTCTTGGACTTAAACTCCCATAAATCCTGGCCAGCACAGCTGGGGATGAAGGCTTCTGGGAGTTTTAGTCCAAGAACATCTGGGGACCCAACGTTGGGAACTATTACTCTAAATCATTCAAAATAAATGGTCCTAGTAGCATTCCATCCTCTTGAGCAGCTGGAAATGACAGTTAATTGCTTGGGTGTATTTTCTTTTGTTGGCTATGACACAGACTTTGGGAGATGTTGGTCCTTTTGAACTAAGCTCTCATACTCTCTTGACCACCATTTCCTCCCCCCCAAAAGTAATTCTTACAAGCTTTGCTCTAGGATGTATGCAGTGAAAAAGGTCGAAACATGCAGTGGTGTCAGTGTGTAAATGATAATCAAGTCTCCTGTTCCCTACAGCTTCGAATGAAGAATCGCATCCGAATACACCACCACACTTGAAAATAGGTAAGAACCCAGGCAAGATGGCTCACATTACTAAGAGGGAAACACTTGGGGGGGAGAGAGAATGTGACCCAAAATGGAGTCCCACCAGATGTAGTTGCATGGTAACTCTTGGCATCTTTTCCCCATAAGCTTTGCTGGTTAAAACTAATGCAACTAATCACCTTCCGACAGTATATGGAGAGGCCATCCATTTTTTCTACTCCTGTTCAAGGGGCAGAATATATAGTTGCACTAACCATCAGTCATGTTGGATGTGTGCTGTTAGGGGTTGTAGTCTGGTGCTTCTTTGGGAATGAAGCCTGCTGAGCTTAGTGGGATTTACCTCAGAGTAAACCTACATGGGATGAGGCCCTACGGCCTGCTAGTTTTGCATTAGATAAAAGGGTGCTTGCAGTTGGGTTAATGAAGAATCAGAAGGCTTTGCTATGTTATCATTGGTTTGTTTAGCTATCTCATGTCTCAAAATGGGACCCAAGGCAGCTAACTTTGTTGAATTGGATTGGAATAGTGGGGGCAGAGGAGAAAGTGGGTATGTGAACAGTATGGGAAGTTGGGTGTTCTTGTGTAACAACTGCAGGAATTAGCTGACTTTTGTGCTTCTGACTACAGCCCAGAATAACTTCTGTTTACCTGTTGGTAGAGCTGTGTTCATATTAGGAAGCATTCCAACTTTGGTTTTATTGTATTCATTTCTGCCCAAAGTTCAGAAATCAAAATATTTCCGAGGTAGCTTTCTCTACAAGGTGCTCCAAATAAACGCCCAGCTAACCACAAGTAAGAACCATTTCAGAGTGAACAGCATCGAGTATGTCAGTATAAGACACTTTAAAACAGAACATATGCACCAGTTTAGAGATGTTGTTTTAACTATAAAAAGGATTGCAATGTAACGTTCCCAAAGATAGCAAAGACGGGGGCTTGGTGGTTTGGCGTATCGAGGGAAGAATTCTGAACATGTAAAAGGTTTGGGGAGAAGGCCAGCCCTGCCATTGGACGCAATGAGACATTTGCCTTAGGCAGCAGATTCTTGGGAGCAGTACAGGCAGAAATCCCCACCCACTATTTCTCCTCTGTCAGAGGGCAGAATTGGGTGTGTGCTAAACTAGCACTTCTTTTTGGGGCTGGTGGGAGGGCAGTTTGTCCTTGCCAGTGCTGAAATATTATTTAAGTGCCAGTCAGGTTTTATTGGAGTGGTTGTGCAGAACATTCTCCGTTGCTTTAGACAGCAATATATGGTCTTTTTGAAATGCTTTATCTTGGGCCTGCTTCAGTTTGCATGAGGCGGTGACCAGGCCTGTATGCAATTGTGAGCAAGGAGTACAGTCTCCATGAAAAGGTCTTTGTTCCTGTTCCAGGGTGGAATTTGGAAGGGGCAGGCAATGTCCAAAGCAACATTCTGGAAATGATTCTTACTGGGACAGCCCATAGGGCCCTGAGAACAGAGCTTGAATATTCCTGTTGTAGCTGTTAGTAACCGGTGTGTGCATGTGTGTGTGTGCGCACGCGCGCTCACACGCACACGCAACGCAATCTGTTACTTTTAGTTGTTTTGAACTACAGCTGTCATCATCCCTGGCTGGCTGGAATGATGGGAGTTGTAATCCATCAGCTTTGAGGGTTGTCGTTTTAGGGAAGGGCTGTTCCGGAGCATAGCCTAGGGCAGTGGTTCCCGGCCTTGGGTCTCAGCCTTGGGTCCCCAGATGTTCTTGGACTAGAACTCCCAGAAGCCTTCACCACTGGCTATGCCAGCCAGGATGTCCAGGAGCTGTTGTCCTAGAACATCTGGAAACCCCTGGGCTGTGGAAAGCAGCAGGTGAGGACATGGCTTCACTTTGATGAGAACAGTTGGGTATGTATAATGTCACTCTGTCATGCAAACTAGCTGTCCAGCATCATAGCCTCTGTGGTTTTCCTCTGTTCAGCAAACTAATGATGGCCTCGGTTTAGAGAGCCTGTGCCGTGTGGCCACACCTCATTGCCAAGTCGGAGTGGAGTTCAAGTGAAAGGCAGTGGTTTCCACCCTAGGCATGTCCCAAGCTGCCCCAAGGCCACAGAGAAAGGAAACACTCGGTGTTGGAGGCTGCAGGAATGCCCAGCTGGCACTCCCAGCCTGTCTTATGACCGATGACTCACCACTTAATTGTAACATGAAGAGTTTCCAATCCTGTGGGTTTGGAGGTGGTGACCAAAGTGGGGAGAGTCCCCCGTGTGCATTCCTGTGCAGTGGGCCAGGTGACACCAGAGAAGGGATATCAGAGCCAGCTATGTGGGAAGAGTCTTTTCGGAGGTGGGATTAATTCAGGAAGACTGACAATGGTAACCCTTCAGAGTCACATTAAGGAAGGCATTCTTATGCACTGCCTGCCTGGAAGTGAATTCCTTTGTCTAGTGACTTTTCCTCCTTAAGTATATTTGAGATTTTGCGTGACTCCATGCTGGCACTTGCTCCAAACTGTGTGATTCACTTCCAACTCCTAAATGTCTCCGGAATATTTTAGAACAATTTCTCACAAGAACCAGTGAGGTAAGAGCTAAGATGGCCAAAAGCTCTGAGCTTGTAACAAGTTAACAGGTAAAGCTGCTGCCTGAAAAGCAATGTCAGCAGTGTCTGGATGATGCCTTAGCCAGCCTCTCTCTCTTCTGAAAGGAAATGCTCTAGACAGCCTAAAGCAAAAAGGACCTGACTCTGCTGATCCATCTCTGTTCTCCCACCTGGCACAGCCATCATCCTTGCATCTAAGCTTAGAGATAGCTGCAAGCTTTTCTTCTGCTTACATCTGAGACCAGGGGAAGGTGCATGGGAAGGGGTCCATCCATTCAGTGTGCCTTGCTGGCTGCCCACACCACCCAGTCAAACTTGCGCCCTAAAAACCTGAAACGTCCAATACTAAGGGCAGATCCTCACTTCATGCAAGTATCAAAAGTGCAAAAGGGTCAAAGTGCAAAAGGGTGCAACCCGCCACATGTGTTGGACTGCCTTTCTGTCAGCCCTTTCAGGCAGAAGCTGGTGGTGAGAAATGATGGCAGTCACAGTCCAGCAAAATCTAGAAAGCTTCATTTTGTCCACGTGTGCTGTAGAGAAGCACAACTACGATTTTTACAAGTCCTGATTTGTTTCAGTAGAGCTTGCAGAGAACATCTTGGGTGGATTGCACCTAAAGAATAAAGGACTGAAGGGATAATTGTCATTTGTGTGATGATGCTTACTTAGCTGGTAAGCGAGCAAAGCCTTGACAGGCCTGCTGCACTAGACACCGACAGCTCGCAGTCTTCCTTGGAAAGGCAGGTAACAAAGCCTGTTCAGAAGTATCGGAAATGTATATGATTTCAGATCATCCATGCACTTTTGTTTTTATGGCCAGCGGTTTACTTCGACCATGGAAGCCGTGATCTAATCCATTCCACCTCCTGGCACTCAAGAGAGAAAGAAATGATTTTGAAAGACAAGAGTGGCTACTGCACAGTTGCTTCATGGAGTACTGATTGGCAGTGCTGGCCCTACCCTGAGTCAGAATGAGGCTGCCTTAGACAGCAAGTGCCAGGTCCTATGGGTGGAGCAGTATTTCCTGCCATAGGGCTCTTCTTCTTTGAGGCAGGGCAGAGTAGTGTATTCTAGTCTAGAAGCTATCAACCTGTAGATATTCTTGGGCTACAATAACCATCACACCTTTCCTTTGGTCATAGTGTCTGGAAACCATGGCAGATGATCCCACCACATTGAATAAAGTCCTTTCAGCTGCAAGGGTGTGTGCTTTCTGTCTATTTTCCTCTCTTGATACACTCATAAACTGAAGACAGAAGAGGGGATGTGCAGTGTACTGATCATCCCCCACCTCTTTTTTCTTCTAGACACAGCCTGGCTTTACCTGAACCATGATGGCAGAACCGCTGCCTTTCTCTGTGGGTAGCCCAGTCCCCACCTGGGAGCTGGAGGCCTGGTATGAGGACTTGGAGGAGGTGCTATCCTTGGATGTATCCAGCAGGACAGACCTGCCTGCGGTGGAGGGTCCAGAATTGGTGAGTTAGTTGCAGGAAACTCACTGAGCTTGTGGATGCTGGACACCAAAGAGGGTGTGTGTGTGCCCACGCTCATTCTCCCCATTCCATGCATTGGCTTCATACCATGGGCCACTCTGCCATTTTCCCATACCTGAATTGGAGGCTCTTCGAAAAGGAAAAACAAAAAGTCCTTGTAACACTTTAAGACATTAAGTTTTTCATGGGCACAAACTGGGTTTGAGGAACTTGTGGGCTTCTGGGTGGTGTTGGGCTACAGGCTCCATCGTCCTTGAACACTGGCTGTGTTCAGTGTTGACAGTGGCTGATGGAAGCTGAAATCCAAGAGCTTCTGAAAGATCACTGATGGGATAATCAATGGCAACCAGTCAGAACTTCAGCCTTCACGGGAATGTCTTGCTCACTACAGGTTTCCATTCCTTTTCATTGTATGTACCAAGGCACAGGGTACATTTAAAACAGTCAGAGTCTTGTTCTCCCCTCTGCCCCAGCAGTGATCTCTTACCATGTTGAAAAACTAAAATGTATATGTTAAGCATTAGCACCTTCATTTTTCCTGCTATGAACAATGTAACAATACAATGTTAATATAGTGTACGGTAGTACCCGTTTCCCCGAAAAGAGGCCACAAAGAAGGACCTAACCTGAAAATAAGCCCTAGTATGATTTTTCAGGATGCTTGTAATATGAGCCCCTGTTAAGGGAAACCCCGCCCTCCACCATTGTGCAGCAACCAGATGACATGACTGTATTTGAATAAATGTAGATTGTTGTACATGAAAAAAATAAAACATCCCCTGAAAATAAGCCCTAATGCGCGTTTTGGAGCAAAAATTAATATAAGACCGTGCCTTACTTTCGGGGAAACACGGTAGTATACACTGGTTAGAATCCTACTGGTGTTTATGACTCTACTGAGGTACCAAGATCATCAGGAGAGGCCTTTCTCTGGGTCCCACCACCCTCACAGTCACGTATGGTGAGGACAAAGGGCTTTCTCTGTTGCTGCTCTCAGGCTTTGGAACTCCCTCCCACTGGAAGCCCAGCTGGACCCATCTTTGCCGTCCTTCTACAAGCAGGCAAAGACCATTCTCAGGCAGGTTTTCCTTTAAATGACTGGTTTGACCAAGGAGATTTTTTTAAGGGATTATTTTCTCTGTGTTTGTATTTTTAATCTTGCTCTTATTATGAGTTTTAATATATTTATCTAATGCTGTTTTAATATTGTAATAATCATTGGCTTTTTAATTTTTGTTTCTTTTAATACTGTAAGTTGCTGGGATCCTTTAGGAAAAAGGCAGCAAATAAATGGATTCTGTAACTTGCCACAGCTAATTGTAGTTAATTAATGAGTTGATGCAATATGTCTTAATCATATGTTGATATTTTAGCATAAAAACTAAGCTAAATACAGTTTATTATTGTCATTTGTTAAAATATTCCAGTAAAAATTAAGTTTTGGAATACAAAGACCAGAATCCTACTGGTGTTTGTGGAATTGCTGCAACTAATTAATGAGGTGCTGGGGTGCAATGTGGCGAATGGCCAGGCGCATGATGGGGATGCACCCCAGGATATCATCTGTGTACATTTTTCTCCGGGGGGGGGGGAGAACATTGAAATGAAAATCCAACAATGTCAGAATAGCCAGTCAGCATCACCTGGATCCAAATGCAGTTTCACAAATGGAAATTTATATTTCCATGCTCCCAGCTTGATAAAAAGCTTATAAAAGTGGATGTACTGTGTTTCAAAAAATATGGGAAAATATTTAGAAAACATACAGAATGTTTTAGCCAACAGAGCTAGGTACAAAAATGCACCCATTCTGAAAAATGGCCACCAAAACCAGGAATTACTGAACTCAGTGGGACTTGCTGTCTGATAAAGATGCAGTTGTACCACATCCTTGACAGTTAAGTCTAATCCATTCAATAATAGTTGCTTCTAAGGAGGCATGTACACATACACTGCTAATCTTCTGTTCCACTTAATCGCTCTGTCCTCCTTACAGGAAAAAAGAGAAAATGTGAGATTTCAAGTTTTTATAATCTTCAAGAAAACAGCCACCAACTGCTTTCCAACATGCAAATTGTGCAGAATTGATTTGGCACAGGTTACGGCCTTGGCTGTGGATGTCGGGGCACCTCGTTTTCTGTTTGCTTGAAAGCAGAGGCAGCCCTATTAGGGAAGCATTTCAGCATGCACCCGCCTGCTTTCACAGCCACAGCAGACGAAGGTGGAAGTACTATGGGCGATGTCCCAGTAGACATCAGACCAGCGTACTGACAATTCCTCTACTTCCTTGTTTGAAATGTTCTTGCATGTGACAGCCCGATAGGACTTTGTCCTGAGCAGGGGTAGCAGAAGAGAGTCATGCTGGAAGGGAGTGTGCAGCAGGGGCTGGAGCCTGTATCAGAGGAAGGGCAAAGTGCACCCAAGATCCTAGCTGTCCCATTGGACAACCTGGCCATTGGATGTCGTCTTTTGTGTAGCGTTCTTTACTTTTGTGAGCAAATACATTCCTATGTGCCTATATCATCCAGCATTTTATATCTAATCCCATTTGCCTCTCAGACCCTTCCTCCAAAACTCAAGTGGCAGGTTGAGGGAACTTCCCTCCTCTAATAACCTCGTAAAGTAGGGCAGACTCTAGGGTGGCAACTGCTCCGTGGTCAATTTACTCAGCTTGATGCCTGTGCACAGGGACAGCAAAGTACTGGCTGCATGCAGCCCCTGGCACCCTCAATGGAAAATTATCCTTTTAAATGTGGTCTTCTGCCTTTTAGTGGGCAGTGATCACATTTTCCCTTCAAAACTATTAAGAAAGAAAAGAGTACATATTCAGAAGCCAGACATCCCTGGGAACAGCTCAGGAGCAGCCCAAAATGGGAGTATACAGGAATAGCCCTCCAAGATCCAGATGTGCAGCTTCTGAACCTCTGGAAGTCACCCATCAGGATTTAAACCCACAGTCCAAGCATTCATATTCTGCCCACTGACAGCGGAAGCTGGAGGGAGTGAAGCTTCTTGACCACACTCACCCTTGCTCCATTCTCTTGCAGGAGGAACCCAGCCTGGATGATACAGCTCTCCTTTGGAACTTGGATGTTTCAGATCCTTTGGGGGCCAGTGGGAGTGGAGCAGCCGAGAACTGTGACCTGAGCCCTCATCTCACAGCTGACCTTCTAGAACTTCTAGGTGAGGAGCCCGTGGGGCCCCCTGACTCAGACTCGAGCCGCAGCTCTCCTCCGCAGACTGGTACAGATGACGACGAAGTGTTGACTGGTCAGAAGAGGAAGCGGAGCGGGCAGCCCCAAGGAAGCAAGAGGCGGCGGGGTAGAGAGCGGGAGCAGCAGAATGAGCGCAGAGTAGCTGAGCTGACAGCCCAGAATGAGCACCTCCAGCGGGAAATAGAGCGCTTGAGTGCGGAGGTGGAGGCGACCAGAGCAGCACTCATCCAGCGTATGGTGAACCTCAAGAGTTAATAATGCTGGCCCATCCCCTGTCAGTACTAAACTGAATCATGTTCTGTGGACTAAACAGGACTTCACTCTTCCCAGACCTGAGCATCTAGGACTTGAAAACAGTACATTAAGAGGAAGAGGTGAAGTCACTGGATGGTGTGTGACGTGTGTGTCAGGCACCTTGAGCTTCTGCTTATTTCCACTCCCAGCGTGGCAGACTTCCCTTGCAGTCTAGTTGTGAGACTGGTGGCCACAGACACCTCCATCAGTCACTGACATCTACTGGTTCTGCCTTTGGCAGCTGCCTGAACTGCTTTTTCACTACCCTTCCTGCCTCTTGCCAATTATGTAGGGGGTTCGGGATAAAAGAAAACTCAGTGTATATAACTGTAGACAAATGCGTGTGTACTTAAAATGTCTATATATAAACAAATAAAACATACTTTAAACCATGTAATTTAAAGGATTTCAGATTATACATGATTACAAAATAGGCAGAAGGGCAACAACAGAATACTAAGAATGGTGTGGAAAATGGGAAAATCCTCCATTCCCATCACTGATGGAAACAGTAGCAGTAGCGAGATGATGAGGCTCGGGGTCTTCAAAGGAGAAGATCAGGAGGGTTCACTTTTTCTTCTTCCCCTTCCCTGTAGCTAAGCTGAGCTGCTTCTGGAGTTCCACCAACCTGGCGGTGGCCACATCAATCTGTTGCTTCTCAGCTTTCTGTGCTTTCAGCTGCTGCACGTAGCGATCCTAAACAGACAAACGGGTGTTAGTATGGGAAAGCCTTGTGCAGAGAAGGACACTGGGCTAACAAGGCAGTGTTTTGGATCAGATGTGATTCCAGCTAAGCTCTCAGGATAAAACTAGCTGGTTATCAGAACTGTGGTTAGCTGAGCCCCTGGTCTCCAAGTGGCTGCCTTGGTTCCAAGGCTTGTGTCAGATATTTCTTCTGCCCCTGCAGTGAAGTTTGATCTCCAACCAGGCTGTTTCCAGCCTCTTCCTAATCATCTGTACTAATTCATTAATAACAATCATGTGCTATCAAGTCAATTCTGACTTACAGCAAACGTTCCAAGGCCTTTCTAGTTATAATGTACTCGGGAACGGTTTCGCTCTGGAACTGTGCAGGCTAGCCCAGGGCATCAGCCACATGTACTCTGGCCCCAGTAGGATTTAAAGTCTTGGACCTTGATTCCATAAACACTTCCACTGAGCTATACTTAGCTCCTTTCACTCATTACTATTAGACACTTTAAGGAAAAAAGACTGAGCAGATGGATCTCAAAAGCAAGCCTGAGCGCAGTGGTGGTGGGTCTGAATGCTTGAATTATCAAACATGGATGTTGCTTGCTCCAGTTGGAAAACATCACAGAACAGTAGCAAAGAATTCTTCACTGCGGAGGCGAGGAAGGATTGGCTTTCCAAGCTTCAGGTCGACGGGACCAACCGCCTCAGCTCCTCTTTATTGCAGAAGCTGTCAATGAGGCTGACCAGATCCCTTCCAGCCTCAACACCTGGTTCCATCCGCCTTACCTGGTTGGTGACTTCTTCCTGAAGTTCCTTTGCTCCCATGGGTGCTCCACTATTTGTAGCTGCTTTTTGCTATGGGGCAGAGGAATAAAAATATAAATGAGTGGCAGCATAAGATGTCTTGTTCCCAAAGCCACCACCGGAATAGCCTCCTGGCCACTTCTCCGAGAGAAGGAAGGCCGCTGTTCTAGGCACTTCCTAAGTATAAGCAAGAAAAGGGGCCACAGTGAGAAAAGGATACGCAGGAATGCATGGACTATCAGAGTTAAAAGAATTAGAAAAGACATTTTCTCAGCAAGTCTTCTTTGGCTTTTAAATGTCTCATTAAGCAACAGATGCAGCAGATGTGGTGAGAAAGAATTCACCACTGCAATAGACCTCTTCCCCTGCACTGGGGGGGATCTAATTGAAACTGAAAAGAGGTTTCTGCAAAACAGGCTGAAATGCTGGTTAGTGTAGCAAGTCACAACGGGAGTAAGTCCAAATAATCAGCGAAGATTTGTGAGCCAAGTCCCACAGATTCTCATGGGCCTAACTCAAGGGAAAGCGTATCTTTTGGAAAGCCCTCGGCCACTCAACTGAACAGTAAGCATCCTTAAGCAGGAGAGTGAAAAACGGGTTTGAGAAGGAAAGGGGAGGAAGCGCTTCCTATAGGATAACTTGGAAATGGGTCGAGCATTTCCTTTGTTGCGCGGCTTGTTGGGTTTGGGAACTTTAGGCCCTCCTGCTGTTGCCAGATTTATACTCCCTTCATCTCTTGCCACTGGATACGGAAGGAGTTCTAGTCCAAATAACATCTGGCAACTTGGTGCTCCCTCTCTCTGCTTTTAAAGAATAATTTTGGACAAAACCAAAGTTTGATCTAACACGGCGCTACGTATTCAACAGTGTCCCAGCCAGCTGCCTCTGGAAAGTTCACACAAAGCACAGAGTAACAGAAACAACCATATGACTATTTCAATTATTCCTTTGTTGTAGCGTTTGCAGGCAACAGCAGGAGGGTTCCCCAAGCCTGCAATAAAGGAAAAACTGAAACACTGTCATATATGGTTGGAATAAAAAAAAATGACTGGCTAACTTACGGAGGCACTGCTGGATAGCTCAGTGGTTTAGGTATCTGCCCGCAGAGCCAGAGGTTGGGAGTTTGATCCCTCACTGAGCCTTCCAGAGAGGAAAAGCCAGCCTGGGTGGCCTTGGGCAAGCGGCACAGTCTCCAGGGTGCCCTCCTACCAAAGAAGGGAAGAATGAACCACTTCTTGAGTACTCTCTACCTAGAAACCCCTGAAAAGGGTTGCCCTGAATCAGAATTGACTCAACGGCATGTGATTGTTATTAACCTATGGAGAGGGAGAGGCACCACAGATAGCAGACGCCTGGGGCCAATGAACAAAAGGGATTCAACTCAGTGGCTTGAATAAGAGGTCAGGTGTAACCTCCACTGATCACTCTCTGATCCCTTTGCAGGACCAAAAGTATAACCAGACCCTCAAAGCCCCAGGGAGGGAACAAGAGTGGGGCAGGTAGTGTATTGTGCCCCCTCTCATATTCTGGTTTAACCTGTAGCAAAAAGAACCATTTGTCTGGTTAATATAAACCAGAGATATGGCTACTTCATGCAGGAAGAAACCAGGTTCGTTTAAATCAGCTCCAGCACAATTGGGAGCACCTGTGTGTCTCAAATCAGTCTGAAAACTTTTTTTTATTATTATAACTCCCTGGATCTGCCAGCCAGCCTTATCAGAGCTGTAGTCCAAAAGAAGAAGAAGAAGAAGAAGAAGAAGAAAGGAAAAAAGAAAAAAAGAGGGGGGGACTGCTTGAAAGGGTAGGCCCACCGCCCCTGAAGTACCCCAAGAAAGCCTGCAGGGAGCAGGACAAGGGACAAGGAGGGCAGGCTTTACCTGTGGTTGCTGTGGGAGATCTTCAAGCTGGAAGAGGACCGAAGGGAGAAAGAGAAGAGCCACAAAGAGCAGGACGAGTCAGGAAAGAGACAAGGAATTAGGCGCGGTGGCAGCAGAGGAAATGGAACTTTGCAAGCAATCTCAAGTGCTGAAAACCAGAACAGCCCTCCCCCAACCAGAGCAGCAGGGAGGAAGGAAGAACAGGTTGCTCATCCAGGGGTGGGGGGTGGAGCAGGGATTCCTCCACTTCCAGTAAGACATGTCACCCTACCCGTCAACCTTGACGAGGCACTTAAGGAGCACTGGCAAGCCTGGCTGTTGTGGATGCTGGACAGACCCCTAGCTTGGGATCCAAACTAACAGAGCAAAGGGGAGAAGAGGAAAAGAAAAGGCAGCAAAAAGAGGTTGAAGGCTCTTTTCCCAAAGTCTGAATCCTATGACACACATTCTTTGGATCCAATATGTAATGGGGGGGGGCTTAGAAGGGCCCTCCCCAAAATGAGCAGACTGTGCGAGTGTGAAAGGGCAAACGTAAGGCTTGTCCAGCTCTTGAGATCTACCCCAGCCAGCTTTGGAATATGGGAGTGTTCCACGAGTGTCTTCTCACTGGAAGAAGGCAAGCCTGGAGCCCAGTCACAAAGAGTCATGACAGGTCCCTCTGTCAGGCCGCTAGGCCATATTGCTTTGTCCTTCCCGACCTCTGCAGGAATGGGGTGATCGAAGGACAAGGTCTTGTCAGTCACCTGCCTGCCACCTGCAGGTGCAACCTGGACTGAAGTGTACTAGACAAAACAAACCCAACAGAGATGCTGCAGCAGCAGCCGCCTTCTCTGCGGGTGAGGCTGGGTGCGTTCCGGGCTTGCAGAAGTCTTTGCCCTATTAAGTACTGGGGTAGAAAGCAGAGAGGGATGGGCCACCAGCAAACGACATGATGCGTTTTCCTTGTTGGTCTTCCAGTAGGAGAGCACTTTTGAAAAGCCCTTTAGCCACTGTCACCAAAGGGCAGGTTTGGAGAAGAGAGAGCAAGTGGAGGATGACGACCCAACAGGGAAGCAGCCTTCCTGCTGTGGAGGCTGCATGGAAAACCTGGTCATGCTCCTCCTATACACATCCCTTAAGGGCACTCAGTTCTTCCCACCTCTCTGGGAAGAGAGGCTCATTCCGTTTTCTCAGAGCCCCTACAACACACCATGACCCAACAGGGAAGCAGCCTGTGCTGTGGAGGCTGCATGGACAACCTGGTCATGCTCCTCCTATACGCATTCCTTAAGGGCACTCAGTTCTTCCCACCTCCCTGGGAAGAGAGGCTCATACCGTTTTCTCAGAGCCCCTACAACACACCAACTATTTTTCATTGCCCTCTCATTCAAGTACAGGGAGTGGACATGTTCAGGGACAAAAGCTTTCTGACTAGAGGTTACTATCCCTTTCATCCGCTCAATCGCATCTCCTTACCTGGCCACCACCAAAGCGCTTACGCAGGCTTTCAATTTGTTCAGTCTCCAGCTTCTGGAACAGAGGGGTCACCTGGTGCAAAATTAAGGAGTCATGTGAAATATTTACAGGTGTCATCTGAACCTGTTACAGGCATACAGGGCTGTGGATCCTTATAGGCTTGTCGAGAGAGAACTGAACATCACCCAATCATTTCTTTTTAAAGTTTCTAGCCCTCCTGGCTGCAGATGAACGTTTGGAATTTCACAGCCAGTAACAAAGTATAAGTGGAAATTCAGCAAGTGGTTCAGATTATATGGGCAGAATTTAAGATTTCTACTTAACCTACCCATGCACTCTATTTCAACATCAAGGTTTTGCCAACACAATTCAAAGTAATTTATGAAAAGAAAAAACTATGCCTCAGAATTAGGCTATATAATTAATATCTGCCACCATCACATAAGTCCATGGGTACCTTTTTGAAAATATTCCAGTGAATACATTTGGCTCATGCTTTAGATCTGATTGATGGCTATAGATCAGACTGAAGAGCTATTGAAAACTTTTTTTAAAAAAAATCTGTTGTTGCAGATGACTTGGGTCACTGGTAGAATGGGGGCATGTTTTTTTCCACTTGTTTCCCATCATTAACTGGAAACATGTTTATTATTTGAAAGGAGCCAAGGTAGCAGTTACATGTTCTTTCCAGGTCCCAGTTAAAGCAATCAGAGACCTTTCCTTTGCAACTTGCTACTTTAGGTGTAGGTAAAAAATATTTTCCATAAAATGTTTTATTTAGTTAGTTATAGCAAAACTAACAAAGAGTTTTGTTTGTCCAAGACAAACAAGTTTGATTTACTGTAGCTCCCTTCTTCAGATCAAGCAGGTGACAGAAAAGGTTATGGCAAACGAGTGTCTCACAAAACACTTCACAGTTTTTTAATTCCACAAACTACCCCTTAGAAATCTATTTTATGGAGGGTATGAAAGAGCAGTCTGGTGCAGCCATCTTCTACCACCAGCCTGAGCTGATGAAGTTAAGAAGCAGGTCTACCCTCTTGTCTGCTATACTGGGAGTTTTAGAGGAGCAAAGACCATACCACAGTTTCATGGCAGCCCCCCACCCCCAACTCAGCACCTACTGTGCCAATCTGATGCCCAGCAGGCAAGGTGCAGACAAAGTTGTCGGTAACAACATTGCAGTTGGCGGGAACGCACAGCTGCTCTTGGATAGCAGCGCTCACGGTGGGCATGTAGGGCTGCAGGATGACAGACAGCAGCGACGCGACGTTGACAGCCACCCCTATCACGGTGCCTGCCCGCTTCCTAGGAAGAAAAGAGAATTTTAATCCCCCACTCGGGGGAGGAAAGAGCAAACGCCAGAAAAAGTGGTGGGAGCCCCCATCCCGGCATCCAAATTGGCATTCCGCAGCAAAACACAGCTGGCTGGCTCCAGTGTGAACAGAGCAAAGGCCAGGAAGCAGCCAACATAGGATCCCAAAGAGCTTGTCCCAGGAGCAGATCCAAACCCAAGGAGGACATGCCCCAAGTGTGGGAATGGGGGTTGTCATGCTGGCTGGAATACACTTTAAAATGATAACAATAATGTTGTCCCAGACTCCAAGGCTTACTTGTCCACATCACTGCCTTTGATGTGTTTCCAGGGCTCATTGACCTGGAGGTACTGGTTGCCATGGCGAGCAATATTCAGGATGATGCGTAGAGCATCCCGGATCCTGCAAGAGAAGAACAGCCACTTGGGAGGACAAGGCAAACCAGGGGAAAGGAGAATGTGGCACCGTTTATTTTCCTCCCAATTGCTGAGAAGGGCCAGGGCGCCAAGGGTACAATTTCTGAATCCCCTGGAGCAGATCTGAATCACCTCCAGGGAATCACAGGTTCAGGGTTTCATTTTGGGGGGTAAATCAGCTTTTTCTTTCAAACTCTCACAAAATAAAAATGTACAGATATACTTAGAAATTTGACATAGCCTGTCCTCTGTAGTTTAACCCACCGCAGTCTGCCTCAAGTAGGTTTTGCTTCTTAAAAAGCCCTAGTAGAAAATTGCAAAAAAATATGCTAATATTCAGAGTTTTCCAAAGTTGGCTGGGATAGAACACATGTGATGGGTTTAAGATTACCTTGAAGAGACTCTCACAAAATTTTAACTTGGGGCTAATGAAAAGGCCCCCCCTTTTAAAAAAAATTTTTTTCATTACTTCACAAGCCTGAGGCTGATTTGGGGATGATCTGCAGCTCAGCTGTCCTCCAGGAAAGGGGGGAGAGAAAACACACAGGGGAGGGAGTCCCTCATTCGCTTGAACCCACACCCTGCTGCTTTGCACTGTGGTCCTTCAATACAGATTTTGACTCAACCAGAGGCAACGTGCTCCCAACGCATGCTATGTTCCCAGGACGTACTTGACCTTCTCCAACAAGCGGTTGTACTGACGCAGCTCCAGAGTGATGTGCGCCAGCAGGCGCTTGTCATCCTGGCTCAGCTCCATGGCGGGGACATGTCCCCCAAAGAACTTGCACACAAAGGTCCCAGCTCTGAGAGAGAAAAGAGGAAAATGGGGTCTAAATCACAGAACTCTACAGGGTTGATGTAGCAATGTCACTTACAGCAAGCTTAAGTTATGCTCATCACCATCTCAGAACTGCGCAGCTGGGAGGGGTCATCGAGTGTGGCCCCCATCAAGGAGGCAAAGTGGGGCATCAAACTCCCAACCCTATGGGGCGCTGCAGCCAGAGACCTAAACCATTAGGCATTTCTTTCATTTGTCATGACTTAAACAATGGCATAAAACTATGGAGGCAAATTATTTAAAATCTTTCAACTGGGCCTCCAAACTCATTCATAAGATGCAGCTTTGCCAGCAGACACTGGGCCTAATCAGGTTGGGAGCTGCAGACAAATGCCCGGCTCTTCCTTCTCTGAATCCTTGGCTCTGAGGGGGTCTCTTGTCATGCGGCCTGATTTAGTCTGGAATCCCAGTTTTGTGGGCAATTTTCAGAGCATTCCAGCCGACAAAATGGGGAAAAACCCACTTATGACTGATACACAGATTTTCTGCTAAAACCAATTTTCTGGAAAAATGGGGTGGGGCTTCAAAGGCCACAAGAATAGCTTTAGAGGGCTGCATGGCAAAAAAGTCTCTTTTTTTAAAGTCCCTGCACCTACCCTGATGCAAAAGGTTTCCCCCTCCACTCTCTCCCTGTCTATGTCTGGACCAAGCATAAGTAAAGAAATCTGGAGAGCCCTCATTCTCTCGTCACTTCTTCAATTTGCACCGCAACTGACACCTCTTCTTGCTTTTTGGGAAACTTTTGTCATGGGGCCCTCATGGTGCAAGGGAGGGGGGGTTGCTGCCGAATTCTCCCACCTTGGACAGATTGACTAGAACGCCAGACGGAGCCTTCCCCCCTCCTCCTGTCATGCAAGGAAGTGAAAGGGAGGGGAGAGAACACTGGCCTTGTAGCAGTTAGGATCCCGGGGATGTGTGTGGGAGAGAAGGACCAGAAAAAGCCTTCAAGGACTGTATGCTGCCTGCTTTACATAGAACTATTCAATGTACATGTCCTATGATGCTCCTTGGCATTTGGGGGAGGGGGGGAGGACAAGACAAAAAAAGTGTGTGTGCTCTACTCCTGCCGTGGATCTGATTCTCTTTAAAACCTGTTAATAAAGTTGCCCAGGGTGTTGAGCAGCTCCGAGTTATTTTTGATCAGGAGATCGTTCCAGGAGAAGGCGCTGTCTTGGCTCTCTGGACGCAAGTAGAGCAGGTAGAAGCGCCAGATGTCTGCGGGAATGCCCGTATCCTTGGCCATATCCCCGAAGACGCCCACCCCGCGGCTTTTGGAGAATTTGCCATCTTCATAGTTCAGGTATTCTGCACAGAGGAGGAAAGGTTTCAGAGACAGGAGCCAATTTTAATACCTCCCCTTGAAAGCCCCATCACAATCTCCGTGTAATGCAAGGAGTACTCTACAAACTTGCTGGCCCCTGATATTTTTACGCTGAGGACCCCAAATGGCCTGCACACTGCCTTTAGCCCAGTGAGTTGTGTTGTTTTTTTTGGAGGGGAAGTGGGGGACAGGACTTGGAAAGGAATCGGTAGAGGTGGGGCTAGTCTGTCCTCCACCCACAGCCATACCTGTTGCAATAAGGTGGTTGACCAGGGTATACTGCTCGCCAGTACCCAAGAGTGAGCATGGAAACACCACACTGTGGAAGGGGACATTGTCCTTGGCCATGAAGTTGTACAGCTGGACCTGGAACGAAAGGAGAGAGGTGCTTGCAAGGCGTCACAGGCAGATCTCCATCTCCTCCCCACAGCAGCCCACATGATCCCAGACAGACAAGAGTAGAGATGGGCATGAAACCTCTGGTTTGGCCATTTCGTGTGGCTCATTTCTTGCTGAGCAGCTGATCTGCCCTGCCCCCCCCACCAGCGGGGGACCTCCTGGCACCAAGACCTCCTGTCCTGCCTCCTCTGGGTGCTGCCTCCCAAGTGGGTGCCCATCTCTAGAAAGATCTTCTGTTATCCTTATTTTCTAGCTGTATCTCGAAATGCCCAGAGGTATAGGAGGCCCAAGAATAGGAGAATCATATGGGGACAGGATAATACGCGTAGGGTATGGTGTGGAAAGGAGGCACCCTGGCTCCCCTATGGAACTGCCTGTGCCCCTACATGCCAAATGACTGAAGATCAGTGTTAAGCCTGAAGGACTCTCTTCACTTCCTTTGAAAGGGAATCCCGCCTTCAAGGCCAAGGGCTAGAGACCGACAGGTGTGCTACCTGTTCTGGATTCTTCCACCATTTCTCCCACTGGTCTGTGTAATTGGCTGTGATCGACAGGTAGCCAATGGGAGCATCAAACCAGACGTAGAACACCTACATCAAGACAAAGAAAGAAGCATGGCTCATAGAAGGCAGGCCAGAAGTGTACACACAGATTACGTTAGCTAGGGTTCCAGTTACACAGCCACTTACTGCACATGTCTTGGCTACAACGTAGCTTAAAACTTGGGCATCATTTTTTCATACACCATTTTACAGAAATTCATACCACTGGCATTACTTTTCCTCCAGTAAGTCTCTCCATTCAGCTCAGCCCTCTCCCCCAAGGCCACGCTTGTAGAGACTATGTGAAATTCTTCACAGATGAGTTAGTAAATAGTCCTTCCATCCATGAAGAATTAATACTTGCATATTTCTGTGTAAAGTGCTAGGGTTACAGTAGATGATTGCAGGATGTATTTAAGAACTAAGCCATGGGTACAACTCTTGAAAGAAAAAGAAGACCAATGCTCTGCTGAGTGTTATTACTCAGACGAATATTAGAAATGTTTTGATCTCTGAGAAATGGCCAGTACAATTATTGTATCAAGATGGTTACTGTACAATTAAAACAACAACAACAGCACAAATAGTTTCCCGTGCTCTGTTATAATGCACATCAGTGACTACCGACCTTAGGTAACCCAGGTGTTCTTGGATTGTAAATCCCAGAAGCCTCCACCATCAGCTGGGTGGGCTGGGACTTCTGGGAGTTGCAGTCCAAGAACACCTGGGTTATTCAAGGCTGGGGAACCCTTGAGGTATGCTTTTCCTCCAGCCCCCCAGAGCAATTTCCTTCCTGTCTCTCAGACCTACCACTTACTGCTTGCGCCCTTGTCAGTTTTGCAGAAATAGCGGGCGCCTTTCCCGTGCGACCCCTGGAAAGGACACAAGTCTTGCACCACAATGCGAAAGAAAGGGCCTCCAGCCACATAACGCCAAGATCTGGCCCTGAGCCACCGGTGCCGGGGCCCTCATTCAACCACTCACCTTCTCACGGAAGCCGTCCAACGGGACTGGCGTGCCCCACTTCAGGTCACGAGTGATGCAACGTGGCTTCAGGCCATCGCGGATCCAGGATCGAGCGATGTATCTTGCATTGGAGGTCCAGTCTCCAGTGGACTGGGAGAAAGACAGCCACTTCTCCAGTTTCTCTTCCAGCTGACCATGGGGCAAGAGGGCAGAGACCATTATATCTCCGAGCCACAAGGCGTCTGGGATGTGCCATGCGCTCCTGTGGATACCATTCCTATGTATACAGCACATCACGCCCACACGGCACTGCCCATCAGAAGAACCACTCTTTCTAACGCAGGGACGGGCAACTTCCCTACCCATCCAATACCACCTTCCTCCAAAGGCAAAATACCTGGGGAGGGTGTCACACACTGGAAGTAGGCAGGGTGAAAGAGAACAGTGGGGCAGGCAAGAAACCAGAGTATGCAATCCAACCCCTCCTCTAGCCACCTCCCCCATTTTATGACCCCCTTTAGTCTCTCTCTTCATTTAGTGGGATGCAGAAGAGGGACTGCTCTTGCGAAAGAAATCTAAATTTAGGCAGAGGGGGTGCGGGAGACCAAATCAAGGGTTCTTGTCCCGATCACAGTAACAAACACAAAGGGAGACTCACCTTGGGCAGGTCAAGGAAGAGGTGCTGAGAAGATTTCACCACAGGGGTCCCTTGACAAACTTTGCACACAGGTTTCTGCCAGAAAAGGAAGTGGAAAAGAAAGAGAAAGAGAGAGAGAGAGAGAGTGGAGCAAAGCAAAGGCAACAGGGGAGCAAGATGAAGAGCACATTCCATGCTATGGCCTGTGCCAGCTGCTGGGCGCTCAGAAGACACCACGGGCTGAATCTTGTCCTCCTATGGACTCTCTGCTAGAGCAGAAAGAAATGGGTAGGGCTGCTGCATCCAGCTCAGTGAGTCAGGCATCAAGCTGAGGAGCCAGACATTGGGAGTTCGATCCCCCTGCGGTGCATTCCATCTCGATATCTGCCCCCTTTCCCCAGCCAGGTGGAGTGCCGTACCTTGAGTTCGGTGGCATTGATCAGTTTGCCGCATTTGTCACACTGGTCCCCCCGGGCTTCTTCATAGTTGCAGAAGGGGCAAGTGCCTTCCACAAAGCGGTCAGCTAGGAAGCGGTCGCATTTCTCACACTTCAACTGATCCACAGTTTCCCTCAGCAAATAGTCGTGTTCCAGAAGCCGCTGGAAGATGTCTTGGGCTATCCTGAGAAAGGAAAGGCAGGAGACAAGAGGAGGAGGAGCAGCCTCGAATCTTCTCCAAGGCCACTCCCCACAGAATCAAAACTGTACCAGGGAAACATGGCAATCCGTAGGTGAATGAATGCCTTGGGGGGGGGCTGTGGTCTTAAAGAATGCTGGCTTATCAGGTGATCTTCTCTCTTCAAGGCGATGTGCTTGTAACGGGCAGTGCAAAAATGGGCAGGACACCTCCAAGTTTTAAAATAGGAAACAGGGTGATCCCTCTTGTTCATACAACATGTAAGTGCAGGTAACGAGAAGTGTTACTTGCATCCTACCAAATTACGAGCCATGCACTCCAAGACAGATACAGAGCGGTAAAGATACAGAGCAGTAAAAAATTAGACTGAGTCGTTGACACCTCTTTGTCTACAGGCAGGGACAAATACAATTGGGTTGACATTTAAAGTGCTGGTCATTACCTAAAAAGCCTTATAGAACTTGGGTCCAGGCTACCTGAGGGCCTGTATCTCCCCATATGAGCCTTCTTCGCATTCAAGATCATCAAAAGAGGCCCTTCTCTCGGTCCGTTTGCTAGCGCAGGCACGGCTGATGGCGAGACATGCGAGAGGGCCTTCCCTGTCGCTGTTCCTGGGTTGTGGCATGCTCTCCCTCAGGTCAGGTCGGGCACCCTCCCTTTTATCCTTCCCGCGACAGCTGAAGACCCATCCCTTTTTAACAACCATGAGTGAATTCCTGAATCTTAAGAATTGAGATAGTTTTTAATGTTTACTTGCCTTTAAATATTCAACTGTATTTTACTTAGCATATAGAGTAATAGCTTTTTCATGTTTAATTTATTGTGCTTTTAATTCTATTCCTTTTAATATTATGAGCCACCTTGGGTCCCTTTATTGACAGAAAGGTGGCCTATAAATAAACAAATAAAATAAATAAGTACGTTGGGAGGGGTGGAACTTGATACCACCCAAGCATCTCAAACAAACCCTTTATGCTTCAGCTGCCATCTGGGAACTTTGTTTTAATTACAGATCCTGAAGCTTAAATATTGAGCCAGGAGGATTTGGGGACTTTTCCATCCAAGCTCCAGGCCTGTTATCCCCATTCAGGAGAAAAGTCCTGCAGGATACGAAAGCTTGCCTATTTATGATATTATAGTGCCCCAAATAAAGGTCCACCTCTTTTTGTTATGCAATGGGAGTTGCATGGACCTGCTTTCAAGGGGCTAAGTGTGCATTGTGCAGAGAAGGTTCCACTGATCTGGTTGCAATTACAAAAAAATTATAGCAGGGGCTTTTGAGGATGCTGGACAAGACATCACTCCTTTCCACTAGATGCGCTGGTTAGGGCTGATGTGAGTTGTGGTTAACATTTTTTGGAGAGCCAGATGTCCCTCAGAACTCCTATGGCATGCAATGTGACTTGCTTGTTAGATCTGTCTGTCTGTTTCCTGATGACACCGTGTTGTTTGGATGGTGTAATGGACATGTGCCCCAAATAAAGATCCACCTCTTTTTGTTATGCAATGGGAGTTGCATGGACCTGCTTTCAAGGGGCTAAGTGTGAACTAAGCACTTCTGCATTGAGCAGAGAAGGTTCCACTGATCTGGTTGCACATTACAAAAAAATTATAGCAGGGGCTTTTGAGGATGCTGGACAAGACATCACTCCTTTCCACTAGATGTGCTGGTTAGGGCTGATGTGAGTTGTGGTTAACATTTTTTGGAGAGCCAGATGTCCCTCAGAACTCCTATGGCATGCAATGTGACTTGCTTGTTAGATCTGTCTGTCTGTTTCCTGATGACACCATGTTGTTTGGATGGTGCAATGGACATTGATGGGAGATCTAGTGGTAGGCAAACATCTTGACAGCCACACGGCTGGAAGTGTGATCTCTTCCAGTCATACAAGTAAACACAACCTAAACCAGTACAGTGGTGCCTCGCATAACGAGCATTGCGATGTTTAGATAGGGGAAACATCGCATTGCGATGATCAGTAAGCGTTTCGCTTACCGATCTTCGCGTTGCGATGTTTTAAGAACAGCTGATCGGCGGCTCCAAAATGGCCGCCGCAAGCATTTTCGCGGGCTGCCCTCGCTTACCGAGGCGGCGAAAATGGCGGCGCTATGGAGGATCTTCGCTCAACTGTGAGTTTTCGCCCCACAGGAACGCATTAAACAGAGTTTAATGCGTTCCTATGGGGTTTTTCCTATCTGTATAGCGATGTTTCCAGATAGCAACGATTAATCCGGAACGGATTAACATCGCTATGCGGGGCAACACTGCATTTCTATTTGTTCTAATTAATACTTTCAGACACTGGTCAAGAGTCTGCCCACTGAGAGTGAGGAATGAATTCCTGAGAAAATTACTTGCATCAGTTTACTACTAAGCTGGATGTACTTCCAAACACCAAAATCAAGTTACTAAAGGGTCTGAACTCCATCATTTATTTAGTTTATCAATTAGCCCCCTACTGGGTCCATGATGTGGAACATCTGATGACCAATGTCACCACAACCTATTTTGCGATAAACCAATGACAACTGCACCATCTCAATTCAGAACAAAAAATCCACAGTCCAACCTCTGTCACCCTTCAATGATCAACTAACTCAACATGGTAAACAAAAATTACTAGCCACCAAGAAATATGCATTTATATATACTTATTTGTATATGTAGTGAATTACACCTCTTTGTCATTCACTGCTGGAAGGAAAACAACTTTTGAATACCTCTCAGACTAACAGCATTTCTATTTGTTCTAATTAATGCTCTCAGATACTGGTCAAGAGTCTGCCTACTGAGAGTGAGGAATGAATTACTGAGAAAATTACTTGCATCAGTTTACTACTAAGCTGGATGTACTTCCAAACACCAAAATCAAGTTACTAAAGGGTCTGAACTCCATCATTTATTTAGTTTATCAATTAGCTCCCTACTGGGTCCATGATGTGGAACATCTGATGACCAATGTCACCACAACCTATTTTGCGATAAACCAATGACAACTGCACCATCTCATTCAGAACAAAAAAATCCACAGTCCAACCTCTGTCACCCTTCAATGATCAACTAACTCAACATGGTAAACAAAAATTACTAGCCACCAAGAAATATGCAATTATACATACTTCTTTGTACAGTGGTGCCCCGCATAGCGACATTAATCTGTTCTGGATTAATCGTTGCTATGCAGAAACATTGCTAAACGGATCGAAAAACCCCACAGGAACGCATTAAACTTAGTTTAATGCGTTCCTATGGGGCCCTAAACTCACTGTTCAGCAATGTTCCTCCATAGCGCCGCCATTTTCGTGCCCTCGGTAAGCGAGGACAGGGCGCGAAAACACTTGCGGTGGCCATTTTGGGCGTTCGCCGGCCATTTTGGAACTGCCGATCAGCTGTTCTGTAAACATCGCGATGCGAAGATCAGTAAGCAAAACCCTTACCGATCATCGCAATGCGAGTTTTTCCCTATCTAAACATCGCAATGCGATCACTTTTGCGATCGCAATTGCGACATCACTATGCAGATTCGTTGTTAAACGGTGCACTCATTTATATATACTTATTTGTATATGTAGTGAATTACACCTCTTTGTCATTCACTGCTGGAAGGAAAACAACTTTTGAATACCTCTCAGACTAACAGAAGATGGCAACTGCCATAACTCCGATCGCAATTGCGACATCACTATGCAGATTCGTTGTTAAACGGTGCACTCATTAAGTGAGGCACCACTGTATATGTAGTAAATTACACCTCTTTGTCATTCACGGCTGGAAGGAAAACAACTTTTTCCTTCACACTAACAGAAGATGGCAACTGCCATAACTCAGCAGCTATTTCCACAGCTAAAAGAACATTGCACTTGACCACCATCACGCCTCAAATGCTTTCCATGAAAAGACACTTACAAATGTTTAAAATAATATTTTTTAAAAAATAGCTGTGTGCTTTCAGGCATTATAAACAGGTGAGAGGGATTGGGAGACAGACAGTAATTGTGATTACAGAAATAGTAGTCAAGCCAGTCCGTCTTTGGTCTGTTTCCAAAATGGAACTCACAATCAGCCAACTGTACACTATCACCACACTGAGCTAACATGAGGTTAGAGAGAGAGAGAGTGAGAGAGAGTCACACATGCTTCTCTTTCCCAAAGTTACTGTGCTCTCAGGACATACGTGGTTTGTTGAGGCGTGGTCGTGCGGCCAAAATAGTCAAAGGAGATTTCAAACCACTGGTAGATGTGGTCATGGACAGCATAGTACTTATCACAGATCTGCTTTGGTGTCAGCCCTTCCTCCATAGCCTTTGTCTCCGTTGCGGTGCCGTATTCATCTGTTCCACACAAATACAATGTATTCCAGTTGCGCAGACGACAATACCTGGATGGGAAATGGCCATCAGTTACAAGCACTGAAGCAGGATACTCATACTACCTCCCAAGCCCTGGTGGTATGAGGACAACCCATACATCTAAGACTGAAATGATAAGGTAGGTGTAACCATCTCCTCCTTTTAAAGGGAGCCCAATAACCCAAGCATTTTGGGGATGAAGAAAGAAATCCTTGCAGGTTCATTCTGTGTTGGGTCTTAGGGGCCTCGTGGCCATATTCCTGAATATGGCCAGCAGAAAAGGGATATGCTGGGACTTTACCTGGCAAAGGTATCAGCACTGAGGACGCAACCAATGATGTTCCCAAGATGAGGGACATTGTTGACATAGGGGAGTGCGCTGGTGATCAGCACATTCTTCATGCCTTCCACCGGCATTCTGGGAAGAAAAAACAAAAGGAAAGGAACTGAGATGTCAAAGGAGGAAAGAGGCTGGATCATGCTCCATGGGGATGCCAGAACATTATATTGTAACCAGAGGTAGTAATGTGTCTCCTGGGCAATCTGCAATTTAATTATCTATAAACGCATGATGAGTAGCCTTGGGCAACACTTTGCACATGAAGCCCTCTGATATTCTTGACAAAATTGAGAAATGTTTGGCTTGAAGTCCTCATAGTTCTGGAGCAACGTGATGATACTGCCTAGATTTAGTTCCCCAATCTAGTGGGACCCAATGAGGATCAATGCAACACCAGGATTAGTACAAACGAATCTTGGAGATGGGAGAGATCTACTACAGTGGTGTAGGTTGGCTGACGGAAGGCCTGCTTTCCGTGGAAAGGTATTTTGTTTGAGCAAAAAACCAGTGGTTTCAAATCAGTAGGTTTCTCTTTAGGGGCTTAGACCAATAGCCTAGCCAGTCTTCCTGCTGCTGTGACTCCCTCCAAGGCAAACCGCAGTCCAGATGCAAAGAAGATCTCCTTCATATTTTCCTTAAAAAGACGATGGTACATACCAGGTGTAAAAATGCATCCTGGACCTAAGAGCTGCACAACAGGAAATGCTGTGCTCTAGTTCTGCACAAGGTCATGCCAAGGTGCGAGACCACGGTCTGAGACCATAATATGAAGCAGTCTCTATATTATGCCGTTCATTACATTGCAAGTAAAACTTTGTCTTAAAAAAAGCAAACACTGAAAATGAGTCCTAGGAAATAAATGGAACCCCTCTCTCCCCAATTTTTCTCAGGCTTTCACACCTCTGTGCTTCGGCTGCCAAAATCCAAAATCCTTTCCCAGCAAAGCTGTACAAAGGGAAAACAGAAGCTGTTTCGTTTAGCAACAGAGAAGCCTGCATCATCTAAAGTAGGATATGAAGGCTATCATCATCTTAGAACTGCAGAGCTGGGAGGGACCTTATGGACCACTGAGTCCAGCCCCTGTGAAAGAGGCACCATAAGGAATCAAACTCACAACCTCTGGCTCCACAGCCAGATGCCTAAACCACTGAACTATCCAGCAGTTCTCACATGCCATTATTTGGAATGTCAGAGAGCAAAACAGAACCATAGCTTTGTTCAGAAGCCTTCTTTGGACCATGGGTATGACTTCCACTATGGCATTTCAGACCAGCAAGGTTGCTTACATGGGATGCTGTGGCTTCCAAGGTTTCGGTAGGCTGGCCAGTCCCTGGCTCCAAACGTCTGCGATGGCTGCAATCTCCTCTTCCGACAGCTGATGCTGGGCCAATTCCTCTTCCTTGGGAGAGGGAGAAAAACGAGTCTTTAGACTTCTTTTAGGAGATGAATTTCCACCACCCCAAGTGTTAGGCAACAAGCCAGGGTGTTTGTCCCAGCTTCTGCCAACATAGCAGTTCAAAAGCATATATAAATTCAAGTAGATAAATAGGTACCACCTTGGTGTGAAGGTAACAGCATTCCGTGTCTAGTCACGCTGGCCACATGACCACGTTAAGATTGTCTTCAGGCAAACACTGGCGCTATGGCTTGGAAATGGGGATAAGCACTACGCCCTAGAGTCAGACACGACTGGACTAAATATCAAGGGGAACTTTTACCTTTACCTGGAACACTCAAGCCAGGAAAATATCTTGCACCAAACCATGCCATGAATGTTTCAAAATGCAAGCATTTCCCTCTCAGTCCAACCTACACCCTCGATCTCATTTTTGTGGGGAGCTACTTGTATGCAAGGGGGGGGGGGAAGCTTTTTTTAAAAAAAGGATCAGACATTCATCTCTGCAATTTCCCATCTGTTGTGCAAGAGAGTAAAGTTAAGGAATGGAGGTAGCTGTCCTTGAAAGTCTGGGATCCCCACCCCAACTCAAACAACAGAAAGCAAAACAATACCTTTGCTTCATTTGTTGCTGGTTTCTCAAAGGCCAAGTTCGGTGTAGAGTGTTTCTGCAGATACGCTTTGAGCTCCAGCAGTCCTTTGGATGTCCATACGGCCTCAACGGCCTTCTTGCAATACTCCTTCAGATTCATATTCTGGAACCACCTCCGTAGGGCTTTCAACTCATCTTTAAGATCAGAAGATTACTATTATTTCCAGTTGCAAAAAGACTTTGCCTTTTAGAGCACTCATTTATTAATATTCATTAAAATTAAGACTACAGAGCAGACTCACGGAGTCCACAAGACAGGATTCCACCAGTGCCTCCGGCCATTGCCTGAGGAGGAGACACCATTCAGCATAACAGCTACCGTGACCAAGAAAAGGCACTACAGAAATCCCTTGGCTAGTTCCGAGGCAAAGGGTTTCCAATTCTCAAATAACCAACAAGCTAAACTTCACCCCAATTTCCAAACTCTCTCGAGCCCCCCTGGTGATTTTTTTAAAAAGTTTACAAAGGGGTTCAGGACTGTAGAAAATCCTTCCCTGAATAAAAAGTTTGCCCCTCCCAAAACTAATCTTTCCCTGCAGTGCACAGTTGTAACAACATGTGAGATAAATCTGCTAGAGCAGCCTTCCTTTCTGGGGGTGGAGGCATATGAGCCCCTCCCCAGGACATTTGGGGAACCTGGAACATTTGAAGGAGGCCACAGACAAACAATTCTTCACACGCCACCTTTTAAGGTTTGATGTGCGACTCAAAACAATCCTGATTCAGCCTATATTTCTTTCATATTCTGTTTACGGCTGTGGCCCCCCAAAAGGGTGAGAATGGCTGTACTAGAGCACATTCCAGGTGTAACAGTGAGGTCTGAGTAGTCAACTGGCCATTCATTCCCTTTCAGCTGGCTCTGTGCAACATGCCAGGTTGTTCAATGAGACTGCCTGGTGCAGAAAAGGTTCTCTGAAAATAAGAGAGGGAATCATCCACATCTCTCCATTACTGGGGGAGGCGAGAGCTCCCCCCCAAAACACACAGGAGTGAAGGAAAGAGAGCAAAAACTAACCGAAGAGTCTCATCCATGCCAGCAGCCAAGGGGCAGATAAAAACTACCACCTATGATGTTAACACACGGCCCCAAAATGATACACAAAGGTCACTGGCAGCATCTCTTACCTGGCAAGAAAGACTCATCCCTTAACAGAGGGAAGAGGGATCCCCATAAAGCAACATCAACAGCCGACTCAGCATCCTGGATTAAAAGGTCAAGAAAGTTTTGTTCGTTAAGCAGGAGCAAAGGAGGGGCAGGATGAGCATTTGCCACCCAATCTCAAGCCACTTCCCAAAAGTTTATAGGCATGCAGGAAAAAAAAATCAATATTTTCCTCCAAGGTTCATGTTGCCAGAAGAAGCTAATATTGCAGGGGAAACCAACAACTTACCTTCAATGTAACCCTTATATTTGAATGATGTAGACCCAGCATAGAATCCCCTGGTATATAGGGACTGGGCTGGGCTGGATTACCAGTTGGTTCTTTCCATATGTGCAGCTAGATTTTCTGGAGACTATTTAAAAATGTGCACTACATTACATCAAAATTATTTTCAAAACATGTGAACGACAAAACTTATCTTCATATATTTATATATGAATGATGTAGCCCCAACATAGAATCCCTGATATATAGGGACTGGGCTGGGCTGGATTACCAGTTGGTTCTTTCCATATGTGCAGCTAGATTTTCTGGAGACTATTTAAAAATGTGCACTACATTACATCAAAATTATTTTCAAAACATGTGAACGACACATACATTGTGATACAGATACTGCATTGTAAATTTCATTCACATATTTTATTTATTTATTTACAGTGGTGCCTCGCATAGCGATCGTTCCATTTAGCGAAAAATCGCTTTGCAACGAACATTTTGCGATCGCAAAAGCGATCGCTTTGCAATGTTCCCTATGGGGTATTTTCGCTTTGCGATGACCGATCATCGCAAAGCAATCTTTTTCGCACAGCTGATCGGCGGTTTCAAAATGGCTGCTGGAAAAAACATGGCCGCCCACTGTTTTCTGGGACAGATTCCTCACTTAAGAGGCACCAGAAATGGCTGTGCTATGGAGGATCTTCGCTGAATGGTGAGTTTTAAGCCCATAGGAACACATTAATCACGTTTTAATGTGTTTCTATGGGCTTTTTTATTTTGTGACCGATCGTTGCAAAGCGACCGTTTTCACACAGCTGATCGGCGGTTTCAAAATGGCCGCCGGGAAAAAACATGGCCGCCCGCTGTTTTCTGGGACAGATTTCTCACTTAAGAGGCACCAGAAATGGCTGTGCTATGGAGGATCTTCGCTGAATGGTGAGTTTTAAGCCCATAGGAACACATTAATCACGTTTTAATGTGTTTCTATGGGCTTTTTTATTTTACACTGCAATGTTTTTGTTCTGCAGCGATTTTTGTGGAACGAATTAACGACACAATGTGAGGCACCACTGTATTTATTTATTTATTTACTTTGTATCCCACTCCTATTAGTGTCATAGCACTACTCTGGGTGGGTAACAGCTCGTAAAACAGAAAACAGAAATAAAAATAGAAACTTTTACATAATTTATTTCGCATTGCGATGTTTTCATTCTGCAGCGATTTTTGCAGAACGAATTAACTTCGCAATGCGAGGCACCACTGTATTTATTTACAGTATTTACTTTGTATCACACTCCTATTAGTGTCATAGAACTACTCTGGGCGGGTAACAGCTCGTAAAACAGAAAACAGAAATAAAAATAGAAACTTTTACATAACTTACATTTTAAAATGATCTCCCGGAACTGCACATATAGGAAGAATAAGCTGATGCTTCAGCCCAATCTGGTCCCTACATATCTGGGACTGTATTCCATGGCTACATCATAAATAACACTGCATTCAAAATTCAGCCTTCATTATTTATCTTGAAAGAGCAAAGTTCTGCTCCTTAAGATCATAAGGATGCTTACTAAACTAAACAAAAATTAAACCCCAAGAATAAAGCATTTAGAGGTTTTCTCCCTCAACTTCTTAAGTCTTTATAAGAAAAAACCCGCATACAGTGGTGCCCCGCATAGCGACGTTAATCCATTCCAGGAAAAACGTCGCTATGTGGATTCGTCGCTATGCGGGGCAAAAAACCCCATAAGAACCCATTAAAACATGTTTAATGCGTTCTTATGGGAGATAAACTCACCGTTATGCGATAATCCCTCATGCAGCCGCCATTTTCGTGCCCTCGGTAAGCAAGGGCAGGTAGCGAAAGCAGAGCGGGCAGCCGTTTTCTTTACCCGGCAGCCGGTTTGGAGCCGCCAATCAGCTGTTTAAAAAAATCGCTATGCAAAAATCGGTAAGCGAAACGCTTACCGATCGTCGCAAAGCGATTTTTGGCCACTGGAAACATCGGTGTGTGATCTCATTAGCGATTGCAAAATCTGCATCGCTATGAGGTCTTCTTAAGTCTTTATAAGAAAAGACCCGCATATAACCAAATGCTGCGAACAGCCAGTTCCAGGTTGAAACCAGTGGGCCCCACAAGACTAAGGCAAGGGCAGGTAGCGAAAGCAGAGCGGGCAGCCGTTTTCTTTACCCGGCAGCCGGTTTGGAGCCGCCAATCAGCTGTTTAAAAAAATCGCTATGCAAAAATCGGTAAGCGAAACGCTTACCGCTCGTCGCAAAGCGATTTTTGGCCACTGGAAACATCGGTGTGTGATCTCATTAGCGATTGCAAAATCTGCATCGCTATGAGGATTCATCGTTAAACGGTGCGCTTGTTATGCGAGGCACCACTGTATAACCAAATGTTGCGAACAGCCAGTTCCAAGTTGAAACCAGTGGGCCCCACAAGACTAAGGAGTTACCACTTCTGGATGGTCTCCCCTCAGCCTGCCAAATTTTCATCAAGAAATGAAGCAGTGTTGCCCATTCTGCTACGTAGAGGTTTTTACTTACCCCAACAAAGTAAGAAGTGCCCTTTTTGTTAAGGGTCTGATCAATGTAGTTCAGCGGTTTCTTGATGATCCCCCAAATCTCCTCTCCTTTCTTTCCTTGGACCACATGAAGATACAAGGCTGCAGACAAAGCAGGCTAAGAGAGACACCAAAGAAAGGAGGCAATATTAGTTTATTTTGTTGCCTCCCTTTGTTGCCTTCTGCTCTTGCTTGAAATTTAGGCTGCAGTCTTCCCTGTTTTATTAGGAAAATAATGCAGTATATGGGGAAAGCTGGAAATTTCTCTGCATCTAAGCTACTTCCAAAAAGACCACCACTCCCCAGAAACAAAATGGAGCTAACACAAAACAGAAGACAAAAGTGAGCCAAAAGGAACCGGCTCCATTCTAAAAAGCTGGGTTTCACCATAGTGGGAGATTTGGCTCTACACCCATGCAAAGGATCGCCTGTTCCTTTTAATTATACAGAACATTCAGAAACACTGAGGAATCTGACAGTTCTCTCAATACACAGACAAGCCATCCCTTTCCACAACCAGATCTTCACACATAATGACCGCCATTTTGACATCTCTTTTTCACTAACAAGATTTTCAGTCCACCCTTTTTTACTACTACCCCATTAGGAGTAGTCACTTTAATCCCAAAGAAAGGGATGCAAAGCAGGTGAATATGCGCCATTTTTCAAGACCTGGAGAACTTTAGCCTCCTGTTCAGCAACGTCCTTCTCAAATAGCCCTCGAAATTCTTTCCTGCAACTGGAAGGGCATATGGAGAAAGAACTGCACAGGTGTCACCACAGTAATAGGGGGGGCAACGTACCACAATATTTACAGACTTGGTAGTCCATCTTTCATTGACATAATGCATATAAAGATCTACTTCACCAGTCAGGGGCTGTCTGCAATATACAGATTCTCCTTCCATGGACTTCCCTTCCTCAAGACCAGGCATTTGGGTAGTACGATGAGCTGAGCCACAGTCTCATCTCAAAAGATCTAATGTAACCTGCACAGGTCAAACCACTTTCTTTCTTCCTGCGAAGAATCCCATCTCCTCTCTATGAACAACCGCAGGCTCCCCCATAGCCCTCATATTGCTGTTTCACACACCTCCAGCTCAGTTGCTTCCCACTCAAACAAATGATTGGCAAAATCACTCTGTTGCTGGCTAAAATCGCTGGTTTCCTTTCCAGATAAACGGAAAAAATACCTAGAAAACAAAAAAGAGAAAGAAAGTGAATGCTCCCCTTTAGATCTATCCACATGCCTTCAGAGGCTCCTGCAAGATGGAACTATCAAGAAGCATTTGCTTGATTAGGAAAGGCTCTTGTGAAACTGTGCAAAGTGACACCGAGAGCGATTTCTGTCCCAGAACACCAAGCCCGGTTGTCCTGCAGATTCTTTCGCTTCTGGAGCGGAATGCTTGCTTCTCACAAAAAGCTTCTGCTAGACTGTTTCGTTCTCAGTCTTCTATTGCTAGCACACCAATATTACTTGCACATCATATATCTGCGATTTATGCAGGCATTGTTTCAAACATCTAATATGGCATAGCAATCAAGGTGCTGAAAAACTGGGCCCAAAGCTCCTGGATCCAATCAACGTCTTTCATCTTAATATAAGTGGAATTGCACAATGGATCCTTGAGGAAGTGTAAGAAAGGAAACAATATATGGTTTACACTGGACAGTCTCACCAGAAGCAAGGATAAAACTAGGTTCTCATCCTGCTTCCTAAACTTGCCTTCCTTAACTTTTTAAACATCCTGCTATATTAAAAGAGATGACAGTATATGCCAATGCCACAGTGACAGGCCTGGCTGGCTTCGCTCCCCAGGGCAGGTCGGCTGGACATGTGCCTGGTCCCTGTGACCCATGAAGGAGTTATTAGCCAAACAGTGCTGCAATTCTTACTTTACACACGGCACTCCAAAATGTTAGAATCCATGCGACAGAAAAAGAGTTCTCATTCCACCTGTTACAACTTAAGAAAAGTGCTTTACTCCCATGTCCTTTGTTTTACAGGTGTGTTTCTGTTGCCCATTGATTGAGGGAATGGCATTGTTCAAGGGTGGAAGTGAAACCATGGGGAATGTTTTGTGCTGTACAATGACGCAGGTAGGGCGATGACTCAGCTGATCATACTTTCCAAATGTCCCTTTTCATGATATATGGAAAGGAGGGAGCAGAGTGTGTTTCTATGCTGAAGGGACAGAGTTAAGTGCACATCTGGATTGGGTCCTTTGAACATGCTCCAAGGCAAATTATTTTTATTAACCGCTTACTTTGTTCCATATACTTCCTTGTGCGTAACATGGTATGATGGTACACTTTAAAGACTGGCATGTTTTATCTGTGGACGGTGGGTAAACGTCACAGACGGTACCCCACCTCTTCAGATGTACCCGAGGTATATTCCCCTCCCCATGGAAAGGGACTCTTCAGATTCTCGGAATCCAAACCTCTTATGAACAAACGCATGCCACACTCTCTAAGGTTATGCCCAGAACCACACCTTTCTGCTTTAGCTTAACTGACAGTGGCTCCAACGGAGGAAGAGATATCTCCCCCCACTCTTGTAGTTTTGGATGGGGTTTGGCTATTTCTCTCCCCACATGGTTTACCTCTCTGGCCATTAAACCTGCTCCTTCTGCTGCAATATCATGCAAGAACCAATGTCTGGGCTGACCTGTCCTCTATTTCCATTTGGAGCCTTCCTATTGGACTGTGGGGCTTCTTTTAAATTGTGAAAGCCTTGTATACATAGGCATGCAAAAGGAGTTGTGAGAAACAGTCGTACAGAAAGAAAGAAACACCCTTTCCCCAAATTCTGCCAGTTTTGTGTGGGCAAGAAAACAGGCAGCAGAAAAAGACAATGCCTTTCTTGAACCTTACAGAGCATCCCAGCAATGCGTCCCTTTTAGATTCCCTATACTGTATGTGCAGCAATCACACATTCTTACAAGAAAAACAGAAGCGATTAAGGGCAACGCTGAATTGGAAACAGGGAGAAATATGGCATGTCTCCTGTAAGATGACTCTTTATAGGTGTTTTACAAAGTTTCATTAGCAGCTTTGCTTTGTTTCTGAGACATTAAAAACAATTTAGAGGAAAGCCAATTTAGGAGCAAATAGCTTTCTGAATCACAGTCTTAAGATGTTCATTATTAAAAACAGAACATCACCTTTTCCCTCTCCTTCCTCCATTCCACTTATCACCTAATACAGTATTCTGTGAAACTTGAAAAGTATCCACAACTTCTCAGTGATCCCAATAAAGGTAATAGGCTGCTGCTGCCTGACCAAAAAGCAGCACACATATTTCAAGCAAAACACAGTTATACTCTTAGATTCTAAGAGAGTCTAAGTAAATTCCTATAGGATATTGTGTTTCGTAAATTAACACTTGTTTTGTATATAATGGTAGACTATATATTTCAAGCCACAAGAACACAGTCTCTGACTCAGAACTTTGGAACAGAAAGTGAAATTCCTAAAAGCTATTGTGTGGGAACAATTAACAACAACACCAAAAGTGAACGTTCTGTGGATTCCAAGAACACATCAGTTTCTGTTTCTTATAATTCAATGCTCCAGGAACCTGATTTAAGGACTAAAACCATCAGAGTTTTATTTATTGTTTATATTTATTTATTTATTTATTTAATTTATATGCCGCCCACACTACCCAAAGGTCCCTGGGCGGCTTACAGCATTTAAAATACAATAAAGATATGTACAATTAAAATACAATTAAAATAT